GTGTGACTTTAGGTGACTTTTGCCCTTCTTCCTGCACCTTTGACAACAGGTTGGAATAATGGGGCTCGGGTGGTGCAAGGGAACAAAATGGGATAAGAGCATTAGAACACCTGTTGGGAAATGTCTTCACATTCCATGAAAATCGCGGATTTGCTTTTTTTGTTTTTGTCAGAACTCAGTTTAAAGCCAATGTTGCTTGAAGTATGAGTTTCGCTGTATTCGGCTCCCTATGCCCAACAACACTGTACTCAGAGAAAATGAAAAATTTCTTCTGGATCAGATAATTTACTATGATATTCTGTCGTTTTTGGAAGGGCATTTCGCTGAAATCAGGAAAGATAGACATGATATCGATAAAAGGACCGCAACAGTGGAAGGGAAGTCGTGCGAGGTGATTTGTTTTCAGAATGAATGGAATTAGTTTAGTAAATAAGCAATAAGTGTCCCTTCTGCCACCATCTCAGGTGTTGAATTTTACACAGTTTTTACCCGGCCCGTACTAGAGAGTCGGTTTCAGTAAACTTTCCATCTTTCTGAGAGAGTAATCAGAAGTAATGGATAAGAAAATACGGTCACGGTTCTTGAGTAGTGTCAAGAATCTTCCAGACAATTATTGATTTTTACAATTTAATATTCGAAATCTATTCTGGGAGAATGTATTCAGGAACGACGAGACGTCAGACATTCCCAGAGAGGTACTGGAGAAGTTTGGTGAACTTGGAGGTTATGGCATTCTTGTACCCGAGCAATACGGTGGTGCCGGTATGTGCAACAGTCAAATGGCGAGACTCGCCGAAACCATCGGCGCCCACGATCTCGGTTTCGGCATTGTGATGGGTGCTCATCAGGTAAGAATATGTTCATTTGGTCGTCCGGTTTCTTCGAACGGTTCCCCTCATTTTTGATTTGGCCTGTGGATTTGCATGGTTGATTAGTTTTCATGGTAAAAAGCGCTTCGAAAATATGGTTTCCGAGAAGATTGTCAAAAACATGATGGATAAGCGACGTTCTCCACTATACAACCGCAAACCCGAACACAGATTGGGGACTCAGCTCTAGCAACGAGAGGAGGAGCCTAGTGCAGTAGCCCCCTCCAACCACGTAGTCACCAAAAAAGTGAACGCAACAGCTGAACGCCGCTGGGCCCTCCCTCGCCTAGAGGGTGCAGACGGGTATAGAATGGTTTTGGAGCGGCCGAATCCCTTGTGCGCCTGGTTTTCAACTGTGAACTAGTGTCAAACTGATTGGTAAGGGCTACCTCTATCTCCGGCCTCAAGTGGGGTTTTTTCTAAAGGATATATATACATACATAAAAGGTAGTGGTGCTAATTGTAAGTGGGTTGGGGGGGGG